GGGCGGGGGTGGGCGGGAAAACGCGTGTGAGGAGGCCTCTTGCAGGAGCAGACATGAAAGTGGCAGCGCCCGGCGTGGCGCGGGGTGGCAGGGCGCCGTGCTGCGGAGGCGGCCCCGGTCATCGCGTTAGCGAGTGAGTGCGGGGCGCGTTGCGGCCCCACACAGCCAGCGAGGAGGCCGAGAGCGCGCAGGTCGAGGGGAGTTAAAGAAGTTGGCCCGCACAGAGAGAGAGAGAGAGACACACACACACACACAGACACAGAATCGCAGAGATGAGAGGGGTGTGAAGTGAGATAACGACGGCTGACGTAAGTGAAAAATCGTGAAACAGCTTCAGAAATTAGGAAAGGCGCACAAAAGGTAGAATATAACAACATTTTTCTTCCAACATTTTTGTTCTTCGAGGGATATTCGTACTAAACGATCTCAATCTTTTTGCAATAAAGAATTGGAAAAAGAAGAAAATTGAAAAAAAAGTCTGAAATATGCATAAAAACAAATTCTACTGGATAAACAGTCAGACGAAAATTCGACACGACAGAAAAACGATATATTTTCTTATTTCAGTATAAAAATAATAGTAACCAACGCGTGTTTAGAATAAACTCCTTATAACTGTATTGACGGTAAATATAGGGGGTTGGGAAGGAGAAATTTCGTCGTCGCGTCCTCTGTTCAGCCGCGCTCGTTATTACGCGCACACGTGCGTGTAGGCACAAGCGTATTGCTGTATCAAAGAGTCCGGCAGCGGTGGCGGGGGGCCGGCTACAGGGAGGATGCTGCTCGATTCAGTTCGCAGAGACTATCCTCAATGAGACACAATCGCTGCATGGGCAGTGCCGTCCAACCCACCGCTATTGTTCACAGTCAGCGCCACGTCTACACGACCTTTACGCAATGACTTCACTCCTGTTACAGTTCTCCCACACCACTTGCAACCCACCATACCATACATTTCACGTATCTTCTCATGTGTCTTACAGCAAAGCCTTACTTATAAAAACTGCATATTTACAATAAAGTAACACAAACTATAAAAAATTACTTCAACTAAAACCATTAACCAATAAAAACAGCAATTTACCATAAAACTCAACACTCTCTGTATACAGAATAATGGTTAGACCGCATGCCGTAGCCTGATCAATGTGGCTAAATGCAATCAAAACCCATCTAAATAAAATCCAAATAATTCAAAATCAACTCGTAAGGACAATAATAACAACATCTTGGTTCATTTCAAATAAACTTTACAAAGCAGCTCGACCCATAACGCAGCACATCATAAATCTATCCACCCGTATACCAGATATACACCAAATGCTACCGGATTTAACTCAGGTGAAAGGCCTTAAACACAATAATAAAAATACGTATTCTTTTCTCTTATTTTTACAGATATTATCCAAAATGTATCAGAATAAGAGGCGTATACTCCATTTTCTCAACTGCGATGCAAATTGTAAAGTTAGTTTTAGATTTAATTATTAAGTCAACAAACATGAGTAGAGTTAAATAAGAAACTCAACTGTGTGTTAGTTATCAAAATAAAATATAAACTAAAAAAACAAACCCTGAAACAATTTCATCATCACTGTGTTACTTTATTACTATACTAACATTCTCTCTCGAAAGAACTTAAAAAAAACCACCATCTCTTAAAAGAGCCACTATCATTACTATCATGATCACGTCACTAATATTACAACGAAGCTCAAACCGTTCCCACCCATAACAACATTTTCGAAATCACTGCTATCCTTCCACCAGCAGTAGTACCGCCATTACCTCCTCCCTTCTACATCCATCTCCACCTGCACCTCTACGCCTCTTCATCCTCTGCATCCATGATCATCGTCACTACCCCTTCTTCCATCTCCATCTCTATCTCCTAAATGACTCCCCCTCCACCATGCGTCCCCCTCCATTACGTCCTCCTAAACTGCCACCTTCCACCCACCCCGGATCCTGCACATTACCCACAGCTACGCAACCACCCCTCTCCTCCCCACCACTCCATAACCCTACCGCCTGCATCCAACCCCGCCACCGATCCACCCGCAGCATCCCCAGCCGCTGTTGGACACAAAAGGAACCTCCATCACCCACATTCCACACCACCACCACCACCCACCACCACACCACAAGCCACCACCACCCCGACCGCCTGAGTCCACCCCGCCACCGATCCCACCGCGCTGGCATCCCGGTCGCTTTGGACACAAGAACCTACCTATCACACATCCACACCACCACCACCACAACCACCACACCCGACCGCCGTTGAGTCCACCCGCCACTGCATCCACCGCGAGCACATCCTCAGCCGCTGTGACACAAGGCACCTGCCCATCACCACATACCACACACCACCACCACCACAAAACCACCACACCCACCGCCTTGCATCCACCCCGCCACGATCCACCGCGCAGGCATCCGCGGCCGCTGTTTAACACAGTTAACGCATCGAGGCGGCACCCACTCACACCCCCTGCCCGCGCTCCCACCTCCACCCGGGCGGGCGCCGAGGATTAGTTTAGCCCCGACAAAGGGACGGGGAGGGGGCGCTGGCTCCGGGGCAATATCGCCATTCATAAGAGGCACAGGCGGAGGCGCGGAGACGGACGCGGCGGATGGAGAGAGACAGAAGGAGAGCGAGGAACGGAGGTAGGGCGCGCGGAAGCAACAGGAATTAATTTCGCATTAGAAAGCGTCATTACCGCGGGGTCTGCGCCCTGGGTGAGGTGCCGCCGCCGGCGCCCGCCACCCACACCCCGCGAGGCGCCGTGGATGCGGGGCGAAGGTCAGAGAGCGCGATCCCAAACGCCAACGATCCGGTTCATTTCCGGTCCAAAGAAGCCACGGTAAAAGTTTCGTTATTTACTCTTTTTAAACATCGGCCGTCTTCTGTGTGGCTGATGTTTCGTGTTTCTACAGCTAGAGATCGTTAGTCCCGTAAATGTAGTGCATGTTACAAGTTGTGGTGTTTCTCTCCCAAATGAGACTGAAATCTGGTGCCGATCAACAAATCGGCTCGCTCCATCCAGGTATCTGCGCCAGCGTGTCACAAGATCTAATAAGCTCTATGTGCCTGTGTGTGAATGTGAAAGTGAATGTGTGTGTGTATAAGTGAAGAGGAGAGCACAAGGGTAAGAAACGAAATATTTCACACGGTCCTTGATGCGTTTGTTAAGGTTCTGTGACGGTATTCGTCTTGTATTAATCGTAGATACATCAAAAAACTACCGATCAGAGCCGTCGGCTACTAGAATTGTCCTCTAGACAGCGGTTGATTGCGTCCTAACTATCTAGTTAGTCGAATCTTAGGATCTCCCGGTCTGTCCTCTTCAGACATCAGACTGCATAATTGGATAAAAGGTTCGCCTAATACACCCGCATTGTAAGATGCGCAAATATGCGCATGATCAAAAGAGAATATTTGCAGTTGTGTTGGACCACATTTAATGAGATGTCGATAGTTACAATATTATGTGAATAGAATAGAATGTCGTCAGAATAGAATGAAAGTCATAGAGCGCGATACCAAACATCAACGATTCGGTTCATTTCCGACCCAAAACAGCAATGGAAAAAGTTTCGATATTTAGTAATTTTAAATATTAGTCGTCCTCAGATTCATATGTTGTTTTGTGTTTCCCGGTACATCTACAGCTACGATAATTAGTCCTGTAAATGTAGTGCATGTTGTGTTTTCGGAGGTTGTGATGTTCCTTTCCCCCAGAGCGTGAAATATGTCGTTGATCAACAAATGAGATTGCCCTTTGCAGGTATCTCCACCAGCGGAGCACCGCAAGCTCTATGCTCCTGAAATGGGTAGTAGTAAAGAGCGTCAAAGGATTTGCATGTGTAAGCGGAGTGGAGGACAAAAGGGTGCTGAAGAAAAAAATTCACTCTGTCCTTAATTGTTTGTTAAGGTACTGTGCTGGCATTCGTCAAATAGTAATCACAGAAACCATTGAAAAATACCGACCAGAGCAGCCGACCGCTAGAATTACCCTCCAGACAGCGGCTGAATGCAACCTATCTAGCTAGAAGTGAAATCCCTCACCGACGGAACTCGAATACTAGATCTCCCGGTCTGTCCTCTTCAAAAGTCAATGGAAAAATAGTACTCCTCATCATTCTGATCTATTCAGAGAATATTGTTATTATCGGCATCTCATGTTGTCCAAGCCAATCTGCAAATATTCTCTTTTGATCATAATTGCTGTTGCGGAACCTACAATACGATTGCATTCAGTGAATCCGATTGCATTCATTTATGTAGTTAGCAGTATGTCGCCTGATTACTTGGATTCGGCAGATAAGTAATATTGAAGCTAGACCATTGTGTTTGCTTGAAATAATAAATGTAAGAGAAGGTTCTTGGTAATATTTACGCAACCTGTTCTGTAAAGAAGTAAAAAAAAATTAATTCAGTAATACTGTTGTCAACCAACACATTTAACTACTTTCATCACTATAAAAATCTGTCATGTAAACCATGCACAAGAAAAGTTATGCATTTCAGGTTCAGTTAGTTACTTTGATGTATGAAACCATTCAGTGCATTCTTAGAAAACAAGTATACTTGCTCCGGTAAAACAGCTACTCAGTAAAAATGACTACTTTTTTTAACACCGATTGTGAAATATTTAAATATATGTTTATGCATTGTGTCTTGCCTCAAAAGTGGGTTTCAAAAATTTTAGTTTTGAAAAAAATATCTTCCAGTTCCCAAACACTAACTACCTCCGCATCACTAAACAACTATTTTATCATATAGGAACGGTAATCAGCAGCTAAAATGAGGAGGTGGAATACCACAAAGCTAGCCTAGAATCTAATTCAAAACTCTATATTAAGGCATACACTATATCATGATATTGTAATTTATTACGAGTAGTAAGCCAACCTTGATATGATAGATGGCTCTCAAATTGATGGACATTATTTTACCTATGTGAATATACATAATTTCCTAATTTAAATATGCTATACCAACGATGTAAATTGGTTTAGTTAGAATTTTGCCATTACAACGTTTCTGGTGAAGATAAAAAACAATATTAATTTTTTCTTTGATGAATTAATTTGAGTAGTTTTAAAAATGCCATTGTTTTAGTATACTGTTTACAAGCAACAATGTATACAAAGGGAAAATGTAAGATAATTACAAAGATTACGTTTAAAACAATGAAGGACAACCAAAGTATCGAGAAATATTGAATATTACTTATTTAAATAGGTTCACATATAATTTCATTTATTGAACAATTTTGTGGAACGAAGGTATTCTTTGGGGGGGGGCAGCAATGTCAATCACATTAGTACTAGTAATAATTAAAGATGTTGTCATTGCTCCCATCCCCCAGCACTTCGCGGCCAGCCTACTAAATAGTATGTATGCATGCATGTATGTATGTGTGTATGTATGTATACATGCATTTATGTACTTGGCGCGATAGCTCGTGAATGTGCTCAGGCCTACCGGCGACGTTCCAGCCTCGCGGCCATGGGTTCAGGGGGTACGTGTGTTTAGAACGTAGACATCCCCACGCCGTATTCCAGCCTTCTCAACCTGCGAAGTGGATTTTATCATCGTCGCACAGCAACATATACTGGGACATTGCCCGGTAAATTATAATCTTGCCTGACCGGGAATCGAACCTGGGGCCGCGTAGTGGAAAGCAAGCACGCTGACCAACAGCTAGCCACGAGGACCTACTAAACAGCAGCGTTACTAAGTACAGGCGGAGTCACTTTTTGAGTCAGTTCTAAAGTAAGTCACTTTTTGTGACGTTGCGTGCTAAATGCCACGGGTGAAAACAGGTGATTCACACCTTATGGGTTTCAAAGTTCATGGTAGAGTCATCAAATTTTACCTCATTCTTAATTGCATGTTGTTTCTAAGCGTTCATCTATAATATGTGTTATTATTTACTTTTTGTAATTGAGTATAATACAGGTTAATAGGAAATTCCCAAGAAGACTTTGGTCCAGTGGAGGATTAAACATGACCGAAATGGAAAACGAGTCAAGAACTTTATGATAAGCGTACTTCACAGACGACGTCATCTTCCAGCTGCCTCGAAGTCCATCAAATTTTACTCCATTCTTATGATGGTTGTTTTTAAGCGTTCATACTAATAATATGTGTTATATTGTACTTTTTTCATTGTATAACAGGTATAGGGAAATTCCCAAGAAGACTTTGTAACAGTGGAGAGTTAAATCATGCGGAAATGAAAACGAGTCAAAAGAAACGTGGTGATAAAATACTCACAGACGACGGTCGATCTTCCACTGCCTGCGAGTCATCAAATTTTACTCATTCTTAATGGAATGGTTGTTTCTAAGCGCGTTTCATCTATTAAATGTGTTAGTATTGTACTTTTTGGTTCATTGCTATAACAGGGTTAATAGGAATTCCAAGAAGACTTTGTACATGTGGAGGATTTAACATGCCCGGAATGAAAACGAGTCAAAGACGTGGTGATAAAATACTCACAGACGACGTCGATCTTCCAGCTGGCTTCGAGGAAGGCGCCGGTGATGTTGGGGTTCTCTGCGCGGCAGGTGATGGCCTTGCCGTCGTCGTCCGTCGTGGGCACGAAGCTCAGGTCGCTCACCGTCACGTTCTCGCGCGTCTCCTCCTGCACACACACACGCACACACGCGCATCAACACACCGGGTGAGCGCCGACTCGCCAGCGGCGCACAGCGCTCTCTCGCAGGCGGCCTGCACCTCAAGGGAGTCATCAACATTTTACAGCACTCCCAATGGGAGGTTCTTTCCACGCGGTTCATTTGCAATATGTGTTATATTGAACTTTTTGGTTCATTGTATAATATGGTAACAGGAAATTTCTAAGTGGATTTACATTAGGTTGTTTTCAAAGCAGGTTATTAACCAACTGAATAATACGGTACTCAATAACGATAGGGCAGTCAGCACAAAAATGTAGACTGCCGAGAAAGTACGTGTACCATGCGCGTGATCTGGGCTGTCCGGGTGACGCCGCGTCGAAGGCTGAGTTGCCGACGTTTCGACCATCCTGTCGTGGTGTTCCTCATGGCTGGTACGCAGCCTTCGTCAGCCTCAGGGTATACCAGCCCTGAGGAAGACCACGACTAGATGGTCGAAACGTCGGCAACACAGCCTTCGACGCGACGTCACCCGGACAGCCCAGATCACGCACATGAATCTGGCGCGGAAGCCTACGACTTAATTTTCATGTACCATGGCAACGAGCATCCTGATGTCAATGGACATTGTTGGTAACATCACTGACGATTATAGGCGTACAGACTGACAAAAGTAGCGATGGTTCTCGTTTGATGACATAGACCCGACGCAGTTCGCATGACGTGTCATTGTGTAGACACACATCAGAAGAGGTGTGTCACCGTGTATTTTGCAGTACTGTATCCAATAAGCATTCACACCCCACAAGTCGTGTCGAATGAAAGCTTTTGTACGTTGCCAGACATTGATAAGTTTTTCATACCACTTGAAGTAAGTTGTGTAATGCTGCAATGAAAACGATACTTTTTCGGCAGAAAAAGGCGGCATTGTAGATCCACGACACTGAAAAAGTGGATAAATAGTGTTCCTATCAAAATTAAATTTCTTCCTTGAACGTGGTGGTCAGAATTCACGTTTAGTGGACCCTTGATACAGGAAAGTTCGTTTACGGCCTTTACGAGTTGGAAACATTTCGCGGGTTCAAGTAGTACTATAAAATTTCGTAATTGTTTCAAATAATGCGAGATAGTTTGTTCCGTTATAGCACCACTAGATGCACATTTTATTTTAAGTACTAGTAAATTTATATTTTTTGTAAAATTTATTAATTAGTAAGTTAGGCTTATAAAAATAGTTATTATTTTATTATTATTGTTATTGTTATTATTAGTATTGTGATAATTACTATTAAATGCATTGCTTTATTAAATATATAATTATATTTAAAGTAGTAGTTGCATTGGAGTGGTGTGAAGTGTAGTGCAATAGAGAAATAGAAAGGGAAGTGAAGTGCAAGGGCACTAAAGTGAAATTAAAAGCAGTCCAGTGTATTTAAAAAGTGTACTTATTAGTTAAAATATCTGTGCAGGACAGTTATAAAGTGAACTGTTAGTGGTGTTATTATAATTATTGTCTTTATTGTTAACACTGCTGCCCATATACCGTAGACAGTTTCACTCATCGAATACTTATCTGCCAAAACTTCATCATTCTTCTTCATTAGCTAGCTGGGGGAAATATTACTGTAGCATTAAAATATGAGTGAATACTGTATTTCTGTTTCAAGATATATAAAATCCATTATTTAACGAGTTGCTGCAATACGCATGTATCGATAACGAATATTGCATGCAATCGTTCATCTTTCCATTCGTACGTTCGAGTCCCCGATTCGAAGGCGTGAACGGCTTCAGGCTGAACGCCGCTCGCCCTCTTGACTGGTGGCGACGCGGGTGGGGTGAGGCAGGTCGAGTCGACGGCGGGGCGGCAAAGCGGGGCCCAGCGCCCTCGAAGCGTCGTTAATGATTGCGGCGGCGGTGGTGGTAGCAGTGATAGTGGTTATGAGGGCGATAGGGGTAGTAGAGGCGGTGGTGATGGTGGTAGCACTGGCAGTGGCGGAAGGTTATCAGTGCTGTGCAGGGATTAACGGGGGCGTGGGGGAAATGGTAGTGGGTGTTGATGGTGGTACGCGTGGTGGCGGCGGCGGTGGCGGTGGGAACGGTAGGTGGCAGTGGGGCGGTAGGCTGGCGGCCGGCGGTGGGGGCGGGGGCGGTGGGACGGGCGGGGGTGGGATGGGCGGGGCGGGGCGTAGGGTGGCGGAGGCGGGTGGCGGTGGGCGGGTGGCGGAGGGTGGCGGTGGCGGTGGGGTGGCGGTGGCGGTGGCGGGGTTTTGGGCGGTGGGGCGGTGGCGGTGACGGGGGTTGTGGCGGGGGCGGGGGGCAGTGAGTTGGCGGGGCAGTGCGGCGCTATTGGGCGGCGGGTGGGGCGGTGGCGGGGCGGGGGGCGCGGGTGGCACAGGCGAGGGAATGATTAAAATATTGCTTCAGCCGCGCGGGCGCGCGCCGTGTGGGGGTGGGGGCGGGCCGGGCGGGGCGGAGGCGGGGGGGGACGCAAAAGCACCTTTGCGGCGCTTCGGGAGGGCCCTTATGCGCCTCCTGCGCGGGCCCATAGGCTCTACGGCGCCGAAAACACGCGATCGATGCAGCAGAACGGAGCAGCAATAGGGCGGGAATTTATTATTTTTATCACGTACATTGCAGTTGGAATTCACGTTGTTTAATACTATTAGATACAAGTTTAGTATCTAGGATATCTATAAATGTATTGTCTGCTAGGTATCACTTCGAAATGAGCAGCACCGT